GAAGACCTTTTTGTGGGGGGGAATCGTTTCAAACGTGCTTATTTGATAAAAAGGAACAGTGTACCTACAGTTGGACTGGGGAAGAGTGAGAAGTGCATTTGCAAAACATTCCTGAAAATAAACATCCGCAGTTTAATAGCACAGAAGGGAGCAAACAAAGCAGACTTTTCACAAATCCAGAGACCCTCCCGCGGGCCCTCCCCGCTCCCAGCTCCCTCCCGAAAACAAAAACATGTTACCTCAGGTAGCACATGTCTAACACCACCTGCAGTGAGGAAGGCAGCCAGCCCCCAAGGACCACCGAGTGCCACCTCCAGCTCTGAGGTCCTGCAACGCCGGAGCACACACTCACACAAGGCACATTCAGCAACAGGATTAAATACCAGGAAGTGGGAGGTAATGTACTTTTATTGAAAAAGGAAAAAAAAAAAGGTACCATCTTCAAAGAGCATCTCACAGACACTGTACAACAGGAGCATGGCGGTAACATACATGGGAACATACAGAGTCGAGGTATACAAGGCTAGCCGTCTAACAGGTCATCTGGCCGCTGGCCGCTGTTTTAGCCACACACGGTGGAAATACAGAATAGAACCATTATCTGTTTCCAGAGTCCGGAGTAGAACATCAAGCCGACAGCACTTAATCGACCAGTGCTCCTGACGCTGCAGGGAGTCTGCAATGGAGTAGATTCTCCAGGAATAAAGACCTTGCTGCTAAGGAAAGAGAATTAAAACAAAACAAAGCCCCAACCTCCCCAAAGAGGCAACTCTACTTAAAATCGCTGACACTATTGGTTCGCTAGGCTATGAGGAATGACTTCTGCTCAGGACAGAATACAAAATCTAGGCCTCAAGGAAAAACGGGTGGCATCCTTTGGTCTTTTCAGATCCTTGCAGCTAAAATTGATCTTGCCCCAAATGAAACAAAACAAAGCCACAGCAAAAGAAAGCCAAACCAATCCACCACCCAGAAGGACGAAAAAAAAAAAAATTTAACAAGAAACCCATCCACCCACCTACCCCAGATCCTTCCAGCGAAGGGGGCTCTAGCTGGAAACCAGCTCTGAACGACAGACAAAAATGGAGGCCAGGCACCACTGTCCTGAGAAGCTAAAGCTGATCCCAGAACCCAGACTCTCTCTGGGTTAACTGGCATTTCTCATTTTTCCTGAGAGGAAAATAATACCAGATGCCCACTAGATCCTAAGAGATCCCCCACCGATCAGCTTTACGTCAAATCTCAGTAAATAACCTGATTTAATGAGTAGGAGATTTCAGATTGCAAGAACTATCGTATTCCACCCTTCCCCTCCCTCATTTTTAGGTTTAGATCCATTGTGTGGGTCACCACTGCACACAGCTGGTTTGCTGGTTTACTAGCAAGAAGATTGGCTTCTTTTCCAGTATGCAATCCAAAATGTGGAACTGAGTCGCTGAGTGGCAGGGTCAGAACCCCATTTTCCTCACGTGAAGCAACTCAGCAAGATGGCGATGCAGTAAAGCATTTTCTCATACACCTCGGCACCCGAAGGAACAGTCTCCAAAGGAAGGCGTGAAAAGACAGCAGGTTGCAGTTTGGGGTTCTTTCTTTCCCATCCCTTTAGAGTGCCACGCTCAGCACCGGTAATAGCGTTACTACCTCCCACACGGAGGAGCCCGGGAAGGTAAGAGACATAATGAATGCTTACACTATGCAAAGCTTTCAAAGGGGGAGGGGAGGAGAGGAAACAGCAGAGCAGATTAAAGCATTTCCAACAATACGGTTTTTAAAAAAAACAATTACATTTCAAACCATTCTGTATGGGGTAAAGAAAAAAAAAAGTTTTTCATGGCAAATCCAACCAAAATTATGTTTAAAAAGAGTTACAAATTTATCATGTAAATTTAAACAAACTGGGAGAAAATGTGAGATTGTCAGCATAGCTGTCTGGCTGTGGAAAACATTCCCAGTGAATAAACATTACCTTACCTGAACTCTTGGCGAGAGATTCTGCCCAGCTTGACTCTCTCATTCTGACCGCAGAATACAGCCAATCCTGAAAATTCTAAAGAACAGCTTCTGTCACTGGTTCCACTACAGAGAGACTCCCCCCAAATCCAGATTCTGACAGCACCAAGCAAGCTGCAGCTGGAGAGAGGTCGGAAGGGTGGAAAACTTACCTCTCTAGAGGCTTTTCACTGTCCTTTCCCCAAAAGGCCCTTGAGCTGAGTTAGCATTCACCAAGAGATAGCTCTGCAGGAGGTAGCCTTCTCTTGCAGATCTACAGGGAGGATGCTAATTCTTTACACACGCATCATAGGTCAGGCCTGGTCTTTTAAACTCTTAATCCAAGAAGGCCACACAAATCAGCTCTGTAAATTCAGCCAGTTGGTCCCTCATCTTAGGTGGGGACCATATCCTTATAGATTCTGGTATTCCATTAATGTTATGGCGACCCTTGGACACACCCTGCACAGAGTGCTGGTCCACTGGCATCACTGAATCCTTGGATCATCTTGATCACAGATATCCAGCCCTGGCTGGCCAGCAGTTTAAAAACAAAACGCAATAACTTGATTGTGTTTCACCTGCTCTGCATATGGCCAGCAAGGGTCAGCGAGGCCTGAGGGGAGATAAGAAATATGCCATATTTGGGGAGAGGGGGGGCTCTTATGTAGATTTCTGTAAGAACAGACTAATTCAGTTTGAAAGTTGTGCCATATTAGCAAATGTGCAAAAATGTAAAACCGATGTTCCTCAAAAGGATTTAAGCGTGGTTGGTACTAATCTCAAAGCCAGCCTGTTTCTTCAATTTCCAATTGAAAAGAAAGTTATTAAGAATTGGAGCTCCAAAAAAAAGAGTTTGCATTGTTTACAATTTTAAATCTTTTTGTCAATGGGAGAGACTGTGGTCGGGACCATTGCTTTCTCAACTGTTCTAAGATGAATCTCATGAACGAATACAGGCCTCACGGTGCTCTCCCCCAAGGGTAGAGAGAAGGAAGAGCATAATGCTGTTCTCCTATTTTAGGAAGACTCTCTCAGCTTTCCCTGGCACCTAGGAGAATTTACTGAAGATTAGGGCTTCAGTGAGCTGTGCTTTAAAAGAGAGATTAAGGAATACTCAGATGCTCAAGGGAGTGACTGTAGGCCCCCAAAGTGAACATGCATAGGTAATTTTTTTCCCAAGTAAAAAGTGAAAATCCCAACCATCTATGGAATAATAGTTTTTGGTGAGAGGAGCCAAAGAAGTTCTTGCCTTGGCCAAATGTAATCAATAAAGCCTGAAGAGCGTGCTACCCGGTTGAAAGAATTCTATGAAGGGTCAGAGCAGCCACCAGCTCTGTAGTGAAACAATGACAGAAGCTCTTCTTGGGGGAAGCTGGCCCTACGAAAACGTTTGCCATTCTGGTCAATAACATAATATCCAGTTACACAGCCCCTCTTGCTTAAAACTTACACAAAAATGTGTTAGTTGGTCAATAAACGGAGAAACCCAATACCAGAAAAGTAGTGTTTTTTGCTTCAGAAAAGAGGTCAAAACTTTTTTTTTAAAGGCATCAAACATTTTTTTTTAAAAAAGCAGAAAAACTGTAAATTAGCTTTACCTAATCACCATGCATCTTAGGCACATACTTACCCAACCCATGAACCTCCAGCTTACCCACACACGGAAAATGCACAGTATAGTAGCACTACTGCTCCGATGCCTCAAGGCAAATATGTAGAGAATAGATTTAATCAAAGGCTCAAGTGTAAGGCAGCACAGCAGGTGTAAGAAACAGGTGTTCAGAAGACAGGTGAACGTCACTCTTACTTACTCTTCATCAGTATACACCAGGAAAAAACCACAGTTGCCACCCCAACATTTGCCGCAGTTTACAATATAGACCAAACTGAGAATGGACTCCAGGTTACACTCTAAAATCCTCCACAGTCCTCTAGTTTCTTCAGGACTCATTTGCTACGGAACCACTAAACATGTGACAACTCTGCCTCCAGATGTTTGGTGCATCACCGGCACTAGCTCAACAGCCTATGCCACACCAGGCTGCTCTCGCCCACACACAGCACTGAGAGACACACCTTCCCAAACCAAGACTGTCATTTCATGTCGACACACAGCAAAGCAGCACAGTCCTCTGCGGAGCCGGACTCATTCAGTTTCCCCTCCGCCCCAGGACAGCAAGCCAGTTCTGTTTCTTATCTGGCAACTCGGCCCCCACATCCTTCCAGCTGCTGACAAGCCACTCACTCCAAAAGCAATTGTTCCCTTTCCTTAGAACTGGAGGCATCTCTAAGGCTGCTAACTAGCCCAAAGGTGAGCACAACCCCTGCAACAGAACAAGAGTGTTAGAGCTGGCCATGGCCGGGCCCCTGGGCACTGTCGGAAAGGATGGTTAGAACTTACTGGTCCACTGAAGCCAGCCAGCTGCGTGATCATCAGGCACACGATGGAGAGGATGAGCCTGGTGCGGCAGAAGATCCACACAACCCTTCGGAGGGAGGCAGCTTCTGGCCCAACTTCATTCAGCTCTTCTTGCCACAGTCTCTCTAGTCTTAACAAGGGCACATGTCCTCCGTTACACATCTCCCCAGGGAACATGCACACCCTCGCTTCCCTCCTGCCATCATTCTTTGTCTCCAGGCTTTGACACCACTCACAAGAGTCTTTCCTTTCAAATTATGCACCTAGCCTTCACCTTCTGGGAAAAAAAAATACCCTCCCTGGGTGCCTATATTTTCACCCTGCACAGGGAGCACCTCTCAGGATACAGAAAATACAGATGAGAACAAAAGTCCTTCCTTCCACCCAGAAAGATTATCCCTGCACAGCCTTTGTTTGTGGGTAAGAACTTCCTTTCTCAAGGATCCCTAACGCTTTCTGAAGGATCCTGTGGTAAGATGTAGAGTTGTAAACTAGATTTTAATCATGATAATCAGCTACCATAAAAATGTATTCTGTCACAAGGCAGCAACATAATCTCCCTGTAGACTCAGGAAGAGAAGCGGGGCTGAGAGAAAGAGAGAAAGCCCGTGGTTAAAACAGGATTAAAGGTCAAATAGGAGATAAAGCAGAAGAGCAAAGAGAAAGTCATCCCAGCTGCCCTCCCTCCACCCGCTAACTCCGATCTTAAAAGGACGGAGCTGAGGACTTCACACTGCTGGACCCACACCCCTAGCTCAGGCCCTACGCATCCAGTACGTGGGACACCGGGGTGGACCAGAGACGCCTACCTTCTGCAGTTCACATCGGAAGACTCGTACTTGGACAAAGACCACACGTTCTCCATGGAGAGCTCTCCCTTCTTGTGGGCGAGGCGGGCCAGGGGAGAAAGCCAGGAAAAAGTCATACAGGAGAAGAGCCCAGCATTGTCCACTGGGTGCTGGTGTCTAAGGAGAGAAAACCCAAAGCACAAAACTGTCAACACACACCGAGAGGCCAGCCGGCACTTGTAATAACGCTGTTTAGTAAGCAGAGCTCTGGACTAGGAAC